TACCTCACCGTTGATAACTGTTTGTACTTATGGAATTCTCAACATCCGTCTGCATATCGATGGATAAATATCAAAACCTCATAAGTTAAAATTTAGAACTTTTTTAGAGAGCAAAAAAACTTTAATGCTTATTATATATTTTTTAATAATTGATATGAGGTTGAATGCTCGAATAAATGAACTTTGAAAATAAGACAATTATCGAGCACAAGTTTAATTAAATCTTGCCCAAGTACTTTCGCTTAAAATAGCATCTTCAGGGGCATTTCGTCAAATATGAGCTATCCAGCAAGCGTAGAATGTGATAAACATGAATGTTAACATAAAATTGTGCAAAACACTACAATAAAACAAGGACACACAGTTTAAAATTACTTTCTCTCTCCTGATACTGACTTGTGCATAGAATATTTTTAAGTAATTTTAAACTGTTTGTTCTTGTTTTAGTGTAGTGTTTTGTACAATTTTATGTTAACATTCATGTTTATCACATTCTACGCTTGTTGGATTGCTCATATTTGACGAAATGCCCCTGAAGATGCTATTTTAAGTGAAAGTACTTGGGCAAGATTTAATTAAACTTGTGCTCGATAATTGCCTTATTTTCAACGTACACATTTTTATTTCTCAGTATTTATTGAACTGCTAGACTATTGTCCGATTTTAATACATTGTCACATCAAAAGTATTCTATGCAGATTTATTTTGATGTAATGAATAAACATGAAAAATGCAAAATTAAACGTTTTAAGAGGCATACAACGGTACACTGCAGCTAAGCTATAGTATCGTGTTTGCCACTTAGAACCAAACAGACTTCGGTCTAATAGTTGTCATCGTTTCTTCACGTGTGGTAACAACTAAAAACTGATTAATTTGTTTTATATTAATATATTCATTATTTCCTCTTCTTGAATTTACCATGTCGTATGTTAGCATTCGATCAGTTGTTTATTTTGTACTTACTCAGCCAGAGGTCATCTTTAAGTCAATAAATCAAAATTTGTCATAATGAAAATCTATTTTTGTTCATAGTCTTTTATGATATCTCGTATCTCCCTATATTTTCATTAATATCGAAGATGCTGTGTTTTTTTTTGTAGTCACCTTGTTTGTTTTTCTATCCCAATATAATCGTTATCATCTCCACTTTCATATAACGCATCACGCTCTCCAATCGGACCAATAACAACGAAGATAAGATGTAGTGCCTGCGCTAGGGTTTTCGGTACCGACAGACAGACAAACAGAATAACCAAATTATATATATATATATATATATATATATATATATATATATATATATATATATATATATATATATATATATATATATATTGATACTGTCATGTAATATCTGGTATGTCGTTATACGTTCATTAGTAACGAACATAAGATGTAGCGCCTTTTTAGTAGTCGCCTTGTTTGTTTTTTCTTTCTTAATATAATCCTTATCTCATCCGTTTATCTATCGTTTATCGCATCACTCACTCCAATCGGATCAATAACAATAGAGATATGAGATTTTCATTACGGACAGACAGACAGAATAAGCAAATTATAAATATTGATGCATAAAACACTCATTTTTATTTTACAGTTAATATATTTAAACACCTATCCCCAAATAGTCCTTAATTTTTTTATTATATGAAATATTTAATATTTATTTAATTTTATAAAGAAACACTAACAATTTTATTGCAAAACTGTGTCCGTTAGTCAGCCATTTTTTTAGTAGTAAAAAGCAGTAAAAAAACAGGTCAGGTTAGATTAGTAAAATAAATAATAATAAGGTGCATTCTTCTTCTTAGAGTGCCGTCTCCCTACGGAGGTTGGCAATCATAATGGCTATTTTTATTTTAGAACTTGCTGCTTTAAACAAATCAATCGATCTGCATTGGTACCAATCACGTAGATTCTTTAACCATGAGTTCTGCCTTCGGCCAACAGATCTTCTTCCTTGAATCTTTCCCTGTATTATCAGTCTCAAAATTTCATATTTTGGTCCCCTCATCACGTGGCCTAGGTATTCCAGTTTTCTGGTTTGTATAGTGGTGATTAGTTCTGTTTCTTTACCAACCCTCTCCAGTACTTCTTTATTTGTAATTCTATCAGTCCATGATATTTTCAATACTCTGCGGTATAACCAGAGTTCGAAGGCCTCGATTCTTTTTAAATTACATTTTTTTAATGTCCAAGTCTCAGCTCCATATAATAATATTGAAAATATATAACAGCGAATGGTACGTAGTCTGATCTCCAAATTTAGATTTATGCACGTTAGGAGTGGCTTCATTCGTATAAATGCTGATCTGTCAATCTCTATTCGTCAAATAAGGTGCATGTGAACACCTAATTAAGATAAAAAGTACCAAAGAAAGTCTGTTATTATAAAAACAATAAAGAACTACGGAAATAAAAAAAGCAGTGCCTAAATAAGCAAATCAATCTTTTTTAATCGATCATTATTATGATACCTACCTGTACGAAAAAGAACAACGAAGGGGTGTCGTTATGTAGTATGTAAAAGTCTAAATTATTTAAAGACAATATATATTATTTTATAAATTTTCCAAAGCTTTTATTTCTGTATAAACAACGTTATTTCTTTATTAAATAAAAAATATTGATTTAATAAATATTTCTTCATAATCCACTAGGGACATATGACGTATAATATACATTTATCTGAAAATTATATCTTTTTTAGCAAATGTATTTAAAACTATATCTAAAAATAATTATTATTTTAAATATATAATATTTACTAAATTTTATACAGAAACACTAATAATTATATTGCAAAAGACGTAGCTAAATATTGAACATTATAAAAATTGTGTATGCCCTCAACACATTTCTTAAGAACAGTAATTCTTTAACAATAAAATGTATTTACTTACATTATACTCTATAGTACACTTTTGTTGATAATAGGTTAGAAGTAAAACCATTGTAAAACATAATAATCTTGTCTAGTGTTTGACACTTGACTAATAGTCGTCATATTTTCTCCCCAGGTGGTAGTAGTTTTTGTGGATAGGTGGTGCTGAGGTTTTCATTACGGAAAGACAGACAGAATAAGAAAATTATAATATTGATTACTTTGAAAAATATGCCAAACCGTAGTCTTAATGAATTTAGGGTTTTGCCAGAACATTCGGAACAGTTTTTTTAATCCAAATCGTTATAAATCTAAAGATTACCAATTTTTGACTTACGAGGTGTCGACATATAACCGTCAATATATACACCAAAGTCACCTATTCTTTTTTCTGTTTTAGAGTCTATTGTCCAACTTTCACAGCCATCCAGCGTAACATAAACAGAGACAACGTAACATTTGACCAGTCGGATTCTGAGCTCTAGACTAAGGTCGGATTTTCAAAAAATGTTTTTATGTTCACAATTGTTTTTTTTCTCTGAATTGTATTATCTAAAGGTTCTTGATATTCGTTTGACCAGATTCCACATCTTCTCTTAATAAGTTGTGTAGTGGGTCTAAAATGATTGCAATATCTTAAACAAACTTGATATTATTTTATGATAATAATTTATTTTCCCCAATAACTGACATAATTTTTTTCTAGTTTCTGGAACAGCGAACTTTTATACGGCAATCAGATAATCTGCTACAGGTTTAATGGCATTACTTTTTATTAATTGACCAAAGTATTTTACAGAGTTTTTTGAAAAAAATATGATATCACTGTAAAGTCTGAAAGATTATATTTTCTAATAATACTACTTAAGATCCTTTAAAAAATTACCGGAGTCATCTTCAAATCAAACGGGAGACAAGTTTATTGAAAATAGCCCTGCTGTGTTACAAATGCCGTTTTTACCTTATCTTCTATTCTCGTAACTATTGACCAGAATACTGAATGTATAAAGTGGAAAAGTATTTACCATTTCTAGTTTTTACCCTTAAATTCTCAATTAATGAAACAGTTTGTGACTGGGACAACAATTTTATTTAGTTCCCTAAATTCTAAGCAAAATCTTGTTTTTCTGTTTTCTCCTATTTTGTATGCGAATAGCAGCAAATAGACTATGATTCTTCAATTAAATTTTTCTTTAATAGCTCTTTTATTTGAATTTCTATCTCTTCTCTGTCCTCAATAGTACATCTGTATGGTCGTTTGAAGCAATATTTATCTTATAATAATCTACTGTACTAATCGATACATGATACTTCTAAAAATAATCTTGAAATTTCGATTTTATCGATGTTTTGATAGATTTTTAAAACGTTCACATTTTTACCTGTGATTTTTGTTCCTTATTTAATGCAGTTACTCTCTCTTAGATTGATTCTAAAGCTTCCAGCAATTTTAATTTTGTGTGTTTCCTCCTCATGTGTCAGTTTTTCGGATCTTGTGATTCCCGAATTTAATTCTGCCGGATGATGTTGTGAATAAAAGTGTAAATATCTGGCAGTATGGGTTGGTTTTCGTTAGAACAATTTAATATGTTTTAGTGAAGTCCTTAATCGGATCTGACCACCGTGGTCAGGAATGGTACACCTTAGTGGAATAGATTCAACGGAGCCAGGAGATTTAGTGACTGTCAGGGAAGCCAGGGAAGTTCAGGATCACGCCGAAAAGAATCCAACCCAGTTGACAATGGTTCCAGTAAGTTAACTAACTATAATATAACTAGTAGGGTTAACCTAATAATAACATTGAAAGTAAAATAAAATCTTAAATTGGTTAAATGGAATACCTACAAACACTACCTAAAAATGTCATACGTTTTCTGTGATTTAAAGATGTAGATCATGTGGCTTGAGTTTTCTCAAAACAGGATTGCCTAAATTAGATTGGAAAAATATATACGTAATAAAAATTTAAAATAAATTTCTGACTGAGAACTATTTTTAGTTGCCAATCAGCAAGTATTAACATTTAATTCCCCAGTTTGATCAAATTCCACTAAACCATCTGTTTTCTTTTTATTATTCAATAAAAAGTTAAGTGTATAAAAAGTACGCTTACCTTTACATCTTTCACAGCAGGCGTAACTTCAGATGTCACAAACGTTGAAGTATTAACGTGTGTAGGCTTGTTTTTAACACTGGGAAAGATGACTCCGCCTTTCCGCTTCTCGACTCGTTTTTCAGTCGTCGAAGGAGCACCACCAACTTGCGAAGAAACACTGTTTTGAACAGAAGTTTGGGTCATAGGGGGCGGTAGAGTAGTAAAACCGCCAGGTAGTGTAGTTTCGGTAACGTAATCTTCTATAAATCTAGTAGATTCATATTCGTCGACGTTATCTAAAGAAGGGTTAAGCAGTATTTCTGCCGGTACAGGTTTTTGCGCTAACGTAGCTACATCGTCTTCTTGTTTCTTTAATCTCTTTTCTACTTTATCCAAGTTGGCAATTATTTTGTTTGTTTTCATTCTAAGATCGTTATGTATCTCTCCGATAGCTCGTTCTTGTCGTTGCGTTTGAGTAAGTAGTTCATCCGATTTTGGCACGAGATCATCAACTGAACTTTTCGTACCAACTACGACATTCCAAACCTCATCCATTTTTTCTGAAACTGTAATAATCGGTTTAATTTTTTCGACCAAATTATCGATTTTGTTTTGACGTTCAGGTCTCTGTGTTGTGGTGTATGATCTATTGTAAAAATAGTTATTGTATCCCTTCTTATCGTCTATGATAGCATGATGGACATCTGTCACTAAATTCAACATTTTTCCTAAATTTTCTTGTACTAAATTAATGTGAAATTGCAGTTTCCTATCAACACCACCTGTAGTATCTTTCAATTGCCCTAATTCTTTAGTTACATGGTTTATCATTTCTGTGTTCAATGCTTTGGTAATCTCTATAACATTCATACTCACAGACCTCTTTTCGCTGGCTTCTGCATTAATATCTTCCCCTTGTAGAGAATTGCTATCCAGTTGATTTTTTAACACACTAAGTTTGTCGTCAATATCACTAACTTTCTGATCCAGAGCCAACAATCTTTTACCCAAATTTTCCGATTCAGGAAACGTATCAGATTTCTTTTCGAACAGTATTCGGTTGGGAGTTTGAAACAATTTGGAATCTATCGTTCTTAATTTAGCTATAACCGACTCTGTTTTGTCTATATTATTGTTTACTCTATCGTCCAAACCTTCTACTCTGCGCATTAGATGTTCTACGGCTTTGTCTAAATTTTCTATCCTTTGTAGTTTTGATTCTAATGTGGAGATGATTGCCTCAAAGACGTTGAATAAATATTGTTCTCTGAAAAAAAAAAAAAAATTAATAGTGGGTTAAATTATTTAAAGTATATTCTTTTGATATAATTCATATCGATTTCACATTTTACGCGGAAATGTTTGTTTGTCGATCAGTTTTACCTTTTTTGTTAAATATTTGATTCATGTTTTATGCTAAATATTAGTTTCAGACAGTTCCATGTTAATTAACAAGGTTATGAAAATATTTAAATTTTTTAAACATATTTTTATTTTATGTTTGCTAGCAAAATATTTATTACAACCAGATTAGTTATTACTCAGAATTTAATGTGATTCTAATCAGTAACCTCTGAGCGATTAAAATAAGCGTATATCTTATATACTAAAACGCTAAGCTCTTTTCTTGTCCACCACTTTACTCAAAAACCATATTAGATAATTAAAATATTTTTTCGGAAAATTATTAGTAATACGTATGAGATTGTCAAGATCTACTTTTGGTACAAAAATTCACTTCCGGTTTTGAGATGACCGGAAGTTAAAATTTACTTTAAGTTTAAGACCCCACAATGTATAAATGGATCGAAAGGTCTCGTCGAGACGAATCTAAATATGAACTTCCGGTTGCGATCCGACACCGAAAGTGACACGAAATGCGCATAAAACGTCAAGATAGAGCAAATCTGACACCGGATTCGTGATCAACATGCAAAATTAACTGCTAAATGATATCCATATCGACAGTTGATGAACTAAAAATTGCATTCCGGTTTTAAGGTCGACTTCCGGTTTCGTTTTTATTAAAAAGTAAAAAGTAAAAGTTTACATAACTCCCGGTGCCAAGCAAAAGTTTTCAGAAAATGGAGACATTGTAACAAAAAACATTGTTTTCGACGAAATATTTCGTGATATTTAATACACTTTTTACTTGCATTATTATTGATGAATGTTATGTATATTCTTGCTTATATTGTTTGTATTGATCTCTTAATTTTTCTCGCAAAATAAAAATTTCATTTAAAAAACTCGATGTGGAGTTGGTCCGCTAGTATTTATTAAATGCCTCATAAGTTGTGTTTGGGTTTTTGCCATTCGGAGAATTTGATAACTTACTTTAGAGATACTCCCAAACCTGTTGCAAATTAACTAATTAATAAACCCTAATAAGTTTATCATAGATATATTTGTGATTGAAAAGAGTTTGTTTGTGTATTGATATCGAAAATGACTAGATGTGATTTAGGTATAAATCAAGTAATATTAATTTGCACGCTTATTAAATTTTACTGCTGAAAAAGCCAATGGGGACCCCTTGCGACCAGTTCAATCCATACATAAACGTACGAAAGGAAAGAACATGTTACTGTAGAGACAGCATTAAAAAAATAAAAGAGACAAATGCATTCAAAATTTCCACTACATATCTGGAAATATCTGGAAAGTTTTTAAACACAATGGCTCTAGGTTTAAAACGGAAGACAATAGAAAAGCCTTGTGTGAATCAGCTAGTGTCGTTCACAAAAGAATCGAGTTTTTAAGAAACATGCTTGATTTTTTTATGTAGACGAAACGGGGATTGTTGCTAAAGGTGGAATAAAACGGATTTGACAGGACAGGAGTATTAAATCCATAAAGCATACCTATACTGAGGGAAAAAGACATATTACATTGTATACGGTAGGAAAACTTGATTTTATTGATGAAGCTTTTATTGATATTCTCGTAAAAATTAAAATTGGGCTGATTACCACGATAATATTAATACGAAATGTTTGTGAAGTCGTTGAAAGAAAAAATGCTTCTAAATTTACATGAACCATATATAATAGTTTTGGATAATCATTCGGAAATTTAAAATAAGAAACCAAAAATTTCTCGACAGTACATAAAATAAAAGAATGTTTAACGAACGAAACTATTTCATTTCCTCAGGATTCTTTCTTTAGGATGCTATTAACTTTCTCAATATAGCTGATCTTCTAAGTCAAAACTTTCATCCCTAATCCAAAATTAGTCACAAGTTCGTGAAATATGCTGTATTTTAATTGTCCATGTGAAAATTTTGGATTGTGTTAGTATAGTTCATCTATAATGTTTTTGGACAAGAAGGTTGGGGCAATCTTTCTACCAGAGAATTATGGTATGGAGCAATATCCTTAAATAACTAGAGATGTTTCCTTCAGCACTGAAATAAGCTTTTGGCAGACCCTTTTTTAAAAGACTCCTTATCCATCGAAAATCATGCGATAGTTTGTACTCTTTAATTTGGTGGAAAATAACAGCCTAGCATCTTCAACAAACCCATTACTAGTTCAGGCATATAAAACAACGAAGCGGGCGTAGAACATCACTTTTTTGTGGCATTTGTGTGATATTATGTACTTCTTGGCGGTATAGTAAATCCAATGAAATCTGACATAACTGGTCTTTGACCGTCTGGCCCAAACGACCCTAAAGGTCTATTAAAACACATCAGACCAATCACGTCACAATTTCGGCGCCGAATGGAATAATCCGTCATAAAAAATATTCTTTAATAGAAATATGCCGCTGGCGTCCACATTCATCCGTTGTCGAACAGTTTCCAGGCAGACAGGTTTCGAACCTAAAGGCCCGTTTTCACGCTACGTCTTATTGTACGTTTTGTTGGATAGGACAAATCCTATACAATAAAACGTTGCATGTAAGCAGCAAAACGTACGTCTTGTCGGAAGGAAACACATAGTGTGTATACACTGGACAAAACGTACGTTTGTCGTACGTTTTATATGACCAACAAAACGTACAATAAGACGTAGCGTGAAAACGGGCCTTTAGATCGATTTTATAATCCCCGCGACGATATTTTTTGGTTTTGCCGGAAACATGTAGGGTGGTACAAGTAAACAAAATAAAATTAAGGATGAACACTTAATAGAATGTATGAGAAAATATATTAGTTTGCATGATTTGTCGCATGCAAAATAATTGGAAATTAATTTAAAAAATATTATTTCGAAAGAAATCAGAGAAGAAATGGAAACACAACACAGTAATGAACTTCTGTTCATTGTACCCAAAACACATACAGTTTTTAAATTTATATAGCAATTATTGCTTATTTTTATCGGTTCTTACGAACAGACGAAACGAACGTTCTGTGACGGGACGGTACCGGATCGGCGTCGGAACTGTGGCGCGACTGATGTTTTGAATCGACCTTTACTCTACTTACTGCATAAACACTATACTTACATATAAACACTCAAAAATTTATTGATGTTAAAGCTACTGCGTCCCATTATATTATGAAAAAGCGCATATCTACGCAAAAGTTTGTTTGCGTAGATTTTTCTCTGAGGTTTCATGCAGTAGTAGCTTTTTTATTGAAATGTGCCTGATCTGGTTGATATCTAATGGGGGTGTCCAGATACCATGAGATTTTTTTTAATCATTATGTTCCGTTCTCCTTTTATGTTGATTTGGACTTTCGCTCGTATCATTCTGTGTTAAGTACTGGTTGTGGTGAACTTGTTAAGTACTGTTATATCTTTAATTATTTATTGTTTGCTACTTATTATGTAGTCGATTTTGTTCCTTGTTGTACCGTTTGAACTTTTCCAGGTCCATCTTCTGTTCATTTTTTAGTGAAAGAAGCTGTAGGAATCCTAGTAGCGTTTTGCTGATCTAAAAGAGTTAATTACTGAGTTGACTGATGAAATTCGTCAAGCTCTTATTGATATAAAAAAGTTGATGCGTAATAAACTACTACCTCAACAACATTTATTCAGAGCAATTATGCCTGTGTATTAGATGTTATTTTAAACATTTTTAATCATATAGAGGGTCTTTAGTAAAATCTGTGAGTTGAATTAATAGCTTGGAAATATCTATTAATAGTGTTAGTATAAGTCGGAAAAAATAAATGAAAAATTGAAAAAGGTATTATAGGAAAATAAAAGATATTTCTTTTTACCAAAAGTGACTAAATAGTATAAAATATGCTCCAATAACATCTGTTAATTTAGAGTGCAGCTTTTCTGTATACAACTATATGTACTCAGATCAAAGACATTAGCTTTTGATAAACAATTTTGAAATTGTCGAAGAATTAATAATTTGTTTAATATTTTTGTAAATACATCTTTTGTTAATATGGTACTATTACTACAGAATTTAAACAATTTATTTTAGAAACAATTGTTGGCATATGATATATTTTTTGCATATTTCCTTATTTTTTTTGTGCATATTTCCTGATCTTTAGTTTAAAGTTCCTTGACAATGTGTTGTGTAAAAAATATTGCAGAC